AGACTGATGTTTCATTATGTTGACTGCCTCCATGAAGGAGCTCTCAACACTGGGTAGAAAAGCCTTAAAACATCCACCCCTCTGTGTTTATATGCCTTTTGTCCATTAGCACTAAAGAAACAATTCCAACATGGAGCCGACTGTCAACTAACTGTAGGTCCAAACCACTTGTTTCAGGTAGAAGTTTAAGTTGCTTTAAATTGAAAAGAATGTATTGTCTATGAAAATAAACCAACAACGTCACGTACCTCCGAGGATCAGACCAGAGGGACACATGTTTGCTTTAATATGCATGGTACCACCTTTTATTGCAAAAAAAACCCAACCCAAACCCCAGTAACAGAGATTTGTTAATATGATTCAGATTAGGATTTTGTTATGGAAAGACCATCCATTTGCAATGCTGCAGATACCACTATTGAACTTACCATTTTCATGTGCTTGCAACGATTTTTGCAGTCTAATATCTAATAAATGCTTACGTTACCTTTACTATAGTACAAATGCCATTTCTTGAAAGGTACGTACAGCAGCATAGGTATGGTCAAGACAGCATCCATGGCCGTTATTTAAGCAGGGAAGCAGATTTGCATTTTACAAAACAGCAGGACTCAACAGGTGCATGTTTGTCATTCTTCCCACACACAGCTCAGGATTGTGTTGTTCTACACTTGTGAAAAGTCACACTGCACAACGCTTCATCTTATAATAGGCCTTGTGCCTTTTTTTTTTTTTTTGCAACCACATTTATTGTAAACAGCATTACTGCAGCTCCTTACCAAGAAAGTCTGGAAGATTTTTTTTTAATAAAATGTATTTCAATTACTGGTAACAGATAGCTGTTATTTCCATATACAGTAGCAAGGTGGGAAATAGACGTCTTATATAAAAGAACTTTGACCTAAAATTCTAAATTCTATCACACTTCCAGTTTTTTTTAATAAAGGCATGCACTATGCAGAGTACAGGAAAAATTTGGGATGTGTATGAGTTAAGGACCATTCTCCCCCAGCCATCTCCCCAGAATTCAAGTTTTTTTTCCCCGAAGTGTTTTTAAATGAAGCAAGCACTCAATGCTTGATAGCACTACAGCAAACATGTATTTCAACTTCAACATTTCCAAACAGGAAGAAACAAAGAAAACATCTGACATCTCCAAGTATGCTTCACAGGTCAATAATGAAACACAAAATCATGCAAGCTTCTCAGTTTCCAGGCTTAAGTTACAAGCAGTATAGCATGTTTATAAATTTTATTGTTTATAAACTTGTTTGTACATCATAAAAAGTATCAAATACACAGAAACCAAATCCCACATCCTCCCCAACCAAAAAGATAGTCTGAAAAAATACCTCGCATGACATCAGAGAAAAAGTTGATATTTTTCTCCAGTGGCATCATATCTGCTTTCAGTTTCATTAAGCATACACCCAACAACTTAAAACAGTGCTTAACACTGGCTAGGCAAACATCCTAACACAGTAACTACCCAAGAGGTACCTGCAAATACACCCAAGCAATAAAGGAAACATGTTTAAACCTAAACTGAAATACCTGAATGCTGAAAGATTCCCTTCGGTTTTCTACAGAGGTTCATTTTGCCCTCTTCAAAGAAGGGCCTTACAGTGCAATACAGAACAATCACATTGAGAAGACTTCTCATTTTGAATGTTATTTTTCCCCAAACTCTTTGTTAGGGGAAACCTCCTGCTCTTGCCCTAGTTGCATGTTTGGGTAGGTAAGCCTAAGACCCAGGATGACTGAACAACACTGACCAACTTTGCCCCCGCCTTAAAAATCAAGGGTCACTTTGGCTGATGACAGAACTACACCTGTCACAAATAAAAAAAGTGGGAGTTTAATGAACACCTCTGAAATTACAACCCAGTTATTTTTACATCTGCCATAAGCATTCCTATGAAATTTTTTCAATAAGAAGAATTTCTATTAAAGCAGCATGTTGCAAAGTCAGAAAGTATGTAACTGAAGTAGCTACAGGTGAGGATTATCTCCAATTTTCATTGATACTCCCTTGACCAAGCCTGTACATCTTTCTTTAAACACACGCTAAGTTTGTGCTACAATTTGTTTTTAAGTTGCAAATAGGCAAGAAAAGGTGGATTCAATGCATCAATTTGCTACTGCCATGCACTTTTTGGAAGATAGCTAGGGAAGTGATTAGTAACAATTTTGAGGTTTCGGTTGTCTACTGGGACTTCCCCAGCCTCTCTAGAGTGAACATCATTACTGCTTTAATCTTTCAGCTTGAAAGTCCCTGCAGCACTCAGTTTTAGCTGGCATCAGCAAATTAATCTTAAGGCATACCTAATGGTCAGATCCACTAAGAACCAGCTTTACAGCGTCAGGCACACCTAACCCAGACGTCTTCCTTCAGTGTTTTTTTAAGAAAATGGCAATGTAGGAAAACAAGGCAGTACACAGAACAGTAACAGCAGAATCACAGAGATAAGTCAAATTAAGTTACACAAGACTTCATACATATCCTCCAAATTAAGGGGAGGGGGGTCCTCCAACAGATCTGCTAGTTTCCTGCCTTCCTAAAGCTACTATTGCAGCTAGACTTCCAGCATATACCTTAAATTGCAGTATTTCATTGCCTTCCCTCTCAAGCATTTGCTGCACCTAGCTGTGGTGTCTGGAAACTTTCTACATCTGTTTGCAAGACAGCTCAATGCTAAGCAAGTGCCCCTGCCGTCACGGAGGAATCCAACAGATCACTCACGACGCAGTGAGCGCCAGACAGTTCGTAACATGGCACTGCAGAGTCATCGCTGAGACAGCAAGAAGTAAGCTCACTTCTGAACTCACCTAGATGTCATTCATTAAGTCTGGAATTAAGCTCAGCAAAATGAGTTCTGTACTTTAGTTCGTCAGCTTGTTGCAGCTCCTTGCTAGGTCTGCCAGCAACGCCCTCAACTGCGGTATTACACTGTTAGTCACACCAGTTTGACAGAGCACATCCAAGGCCAAGATGTTCCCAGCTTTGCCCTCTGCCAGGTGCCGTGGATAAAGCGATAAATTGGGACTTACAGAAATACCAGACTGTGATAAACTGTAAACTGTTTTGTTCATCAAACTTTGTGTCAGATGCCTGTGATAGGTGTTCAATTAAGTCCTGTGATATGTGTTAGACAATCTTGCATCGCTAAAGTTTTCTTAAAGCATTAAAGTTTAGATGGTACAGAACATGCCCGGCAACAAGACAGAACATGCCCTGAGGTAGAAGGGGAGGGGGGAGCGGAGTAGATTGCAATTGGAAGATTCGAAAGAAGGCGCGAGCGAAAACGGATTGTGATTGGAGAAACTGACAACCGACGAGAAGTATAAAGAGAGTATAAAGACTGTTAAGCGGTCGGCCGTTGGTGGAGCAGGAGACTCCCCGGCCACCCCAGCGCTTTTTGCTTACTTGTCGCTTGCTTTAATAAATCAAAAAATTTCTAATTGACCAGCCTCTGTCACTCAATTGGACAGGTAAATTATAACACAGACCGAGTATTTGTGTGAATTTTGAAAGAGTTTCTTTTTCCTTCAGGCATTATACTCAGAAGCAAAGCACAGAGAAACACTAACTCACACAGGGAGGAAAAAATAATTCAGCTTGTAAATAAGTCTGACAACTAGACAACTTTTCTCACTTCATACCATGTTTTTCATACAAACCTCAGTCAGCAGCTTCTCACCTACTATTTCAGTGAGCTCATAAAAAACCCACAACTACAATAGCAAGAAGATTTATTACCCCACACAGAAGAATTAGAGCAATATATATTTTTGTTAACTCAGAATTAATAATTTTCCCTGACAGACTTTCCTCTGGAAAAATAAACTCCAGTCTTATATCTTTTTTCATATTAAAGTGTGCTTTTTCAGATTTAAGAGTATACATGGCTTAAGATTTATACAGCTGTTCCTTAAATTGTGCGTCTAATACTACTCATCAAATTCCAAGGTCCACCCAGATATATCAGATAAAACACAAGACAACAAGCCAAACTCACACTAGAGAAGAGTCTCCAGTAGAGGTGTGATGTTACACCCAATGACAAGCTTGACAGCACTCTGAAACCAGCTTGTACATGTATCTTCCCTAACAGATTCATCTGCCTTATTCTGAAAGAACCCTCTTTATCACAGAAATATGAAAGACTCCATTTGGATATACAGCTGTTGAGCTTGTACGTGTCTTTAAACTGCCAGCCACATGAAATTCCTAGAAAATTTAGTCCAGTGTACAGGAAACAACAGAAAAAGTAAAGACCTACACTTACCTAAAATCATACCTAAAATCATTAAGACCTATATTTACCTAAATAAAAACAAAATCAAACAAGTAGTTTAATGCCGATTGCTAAAGGCAGTGCCACTTAGATTCATATATTCATACAATTAATATAGTAGTTTAAAGAAAGATGCCTAACTCTAAACTTAGACACTTAGCACTGCATGACCCAGCTTAATAATAATGTTGTTTTCTGCAGGATTTAATCCACCAAGCTATCTGTAATGGTGATCCAGCAAAAGCTTCCATGGGCAGGGAATAAAAAACCCCAAAGAAGTCTAGTCACATTCAGTGACTTGTTAGAATCTAAGAGACTTAAAAAACCTCTCAAAGAAAAAAAAAAGAGGAGAGGTGGGAAATTAAATCACCATGTTATAATCTGTGAAATGCACCTCAGTTGATGTTATTTCCTGAAAAGTAGTTCAGAATGAGGTATTCAAGGTTTATGGTCACTACATGTCTATATACACATACAGCTTTCCAGGTTTACCTAGAATATTTTCAACACCTGAAAAATTAAGTAGTTGTAGGGTGAAACAGAAACATGCTTTTTCTCTGCATACCTGGTAGGTACGTACTCCAGTGTACCAATCGATCAGGATCTGTTTCCTTTTACTCCACCTATTTATGCTGATCCATTTCTATTTTTTTTCTTTTTGTATAAGGTTAAGCAATACACAGGAAGTAGTACCATGTGTTATTAACCTTGCAACAGTGGCTGGGCAGCTTCAGTATGTTGCATTTGCATGTTATTTGCTTGGGTGAGGATAAAATGCTTAACAAAAACTGCAATGAAAACCATAACAATAACACTGCCCAGAAAGACTCCTACAACAGTAGCATAGGTGTCTGCTCCAAAGGCTACAGGAACTTCTTCAGCAAGTATATCTTTCACAGCATTGAATGAACCATTGTTTGGCAGTGAGTTAATACCAAGCAGATGGCACAATAAGGGATACAAGTCTGTAGCATTCATGACTTCTTTGGTGGCATTCTTTCTGAAGGCAGGCCCAACTGCCAAAAAAATTGGATGCATTTCTGGTAAGATGTTGTCATATCCATGATTACCAACTAGAAATAAAAGATAGATAGATAAAGATCAATATTCTGAAGTTGCAAAACAAGCACTGAACTTCTTCCTAGAATTAGCATAATGCACAAAAGGAACAGCCATCATTTATTCTTGCAGAAGTTTAGAAGAATTATTTTGATCAACAGCACAAATGTCTCCTTGCAAATACTAAGTCTCAAAACTACAAAGAGAAGATGCCTTAAAAAAAAAAAAAAAAAGAGAGCACTATTTAAAAAAAAGAAAAAGAAAAAAAAAAGGTATGTTCCCATTGCAATAGCTGCACTGTCAATGGCATGCTATGCTATACCCAAGTTTCCTTGATTTTCCTCAAGGAAAAACTCCATGTAGAGACAGACTGTTTGACTCCTAGTAGCAGACAGACCATAAGCTCTGACTGCTTTGGCACCTTGTCCAATTTTGTGCACTATCTACTCATCAACAAGGAAAAAAGTTTACAGATCTCAGTAGTGGGTCTCCAGTGCCCTGTCCTTACATGGGCACTAAAACACTCTGAACGTGTAAATAGACATGCAGGCACAAAAAGTTGCTCTCATCTGCTATCAACTACTGAAAAACTTGTTAAGTCTTGCAGGTAATGCTCTTCAGCTTCATAACCAGAAGTGAAATATAAGAAGTTTTCAATTAAGAAACTTAAGAACTGACCATATGACACCTATATTTTCCTCCTAGCTAACCAACAGTTACAGTTTACTGTCTCAATTCTACCTGTAATATACCTCAAAACCCCAAGGTGAGGAACTTAAAAGTGGGTGGTGGTGGTTTTTTTTCCTCCAAATCACCTAGAATGCACCTTACCCTATAAGGCAAAAGAAAATCACTGGTGTACAGTAACACAATATTCAAAGACTCTGTCTAGCAAAAGAACAAGGTTACTATAAGTGTAGGCATCCAGGTAAGTTGGGGAGTTTCAGAACGTATTCTTATGTTTCCAACCCAACCCTTCTCCCGTAAATAAACAATATATGCTAAAACAACACTATTCATCCTCTACTCAGGAAGTTCAGTTACTAATTTTTTTTTTTTAAATCTCTCAGGAAGTGCTTGTCAGTTTGCTAGATCTCACAAGAAGACCTCAAGTATGTAGCCACTAAAACATGTGAATGATCTTATCTCAGCAAGTTTAATTTTTAGAAACTGTAGTCCAGTTCTCCCTCCCCTAACAGTAGGGTGCTTCCCATCCCATAAGGAAAAAAAAAAAATTATAAATTCTACACACTTAGCTTCAGAGTTTTCCCTCCCAGTTTAAGAATAAAAAAAAATTTAAAAATTAACATTGGTTGAGATTGGGAGAGAAAGTACCGTGTAAGGTCTCTGACTAGGAAGACAGTGTGAAGACAGAATACTTACATTGAAAACCGTCAGACTTATTATATACAATTTCCCATCCTTTATCAGCCAGTGCTAAGATTGGCTGAATTTTACTGTTATGTTTGTAATGTAATCTATCTGGAATCTGCTCCTTTTTATATACAGTCATGTTGGGATGAGCACTGGTCAGGGCTTCATATACTTCATCCAGTTTGCCTTCAAACAAAAAGAAACAAAAGACAAAACTTAAACATACCAATATGTTTACTGAACTCATCAGTAGTTTAAATACAACTGAAAGAAGAGGGCAAAATCCACTTCCCCAAAAGCTAATTATAGCTGTAAGAGACAACAGCTGATTACAACATGCATAGAACTTACTGTGAGAAATCCAGAGCATCATTCACAGTAAGATTACACCTGGCATCAGGCTTCACAGACTATTCTTAAACAGTAAGTACCTTGCTAATTTTAGAAAAATCCCTCAGTTCATAGTTATCAGAACGTAGGCTTCTCACAAGAATGAGTTAGAAGGCATTCAGTTAAGTCTCACAGAAAAGAAACCAGCTCCTCCTACCTCCATGCAAAGCTTGAAAGCAAGAAGATAGCTCCTAAACCTGTTTATGAGGTAACGTGTGCATTAAGGCCATACTCTGTCCTTCCCCCAGTTGGCTATGATGACAAGTGACACTTTTTATTTCATTTTAAAGCAGTTTAATTGTTAGTTGTTTTCCTTTAAAAGGCCAAAGAGATCAGCCACTTTGTTTCTTGAAAGTTTTTGAACTTTCTTGAATGTATGTGTTTTCTTTTTTTTAACTCTCTTCAAGTTTTTCTCTGAAAACTTACTTCTGAGTGAACCCAACTATTTATTTCTCCTTCTGTGAGATGCTCCAATGAACAGTTACATATTTGACCTCATCTGACTCCCCGTGTTGATCTTCTACCATTTTGATGACAAGTTTAGCCAACTGAGAAAGAGTAGCTAGTTTGTTGCTATGCTCCATGTAACATCATAGTATTAGCAATTGATTGCCTAGGGATAAGCAAAACTAGCTTGCGTTCATCTGCCAACGGAAGCCCTCAGGTCTAGATGCCACTAATACCCTGGGAGCTGTACAAAGATTGCAGAGGCCTAAGCAGGGAAACACATGGCAAACACACGAAGGGACAGGTTGGACTGGCAGAGGAAGATGGCACTTTTGGTCTAGACCTGTCAGCCACTCTGTGTATTTACTAACAGCTAAAAGCACTACCTACTCCTTTGTACTCTTAGTGTCTACTCCTTTCCCTTCCCTAGTCATCTACTGCCCAGTGAGCGTAAACCCTCAAGAGCTGTACTAACAATACCAAATAAATAGGCATTTTCCACCCCCAATTCTTAATTTCCTTATTTCCAGTTTCTGAGCTTTTCTTTCCAGTAAAAGTCACTGAGCAGCCAGAAAGCAGTTGGACAGGACCAGCACACAGAAAGGAGGAACCAGGACACACAGACCAAAACACAAAAGCAAGTTCATGAATTTACATCTGAGCAAGTTTCTTCAATCCCCCCTGCCATATAAGCACTGATTCTTATTGAGAGCTATGCTGTGTATATAACAGACTTCTGTTATATACCAAATATATGTTTTAAGCTCCATGACTTAAGTACTTTGTGCTACACACACGCACAATTCAGTCAGACAGCTGAGTTCACAGCTAGACTCTGCAGGCCAATTTCAGCATTATAAGGTCCGAAGCACGGTTGGAAGACAGTCACATTTTCTTTGTGGCCAACACTGCTGTTTTTAGCAGACGAGTGAATTTAAGCACATCCTGTCATTTTGACTTATCATTTCTCGCTAGGTCTGCCTTCACAGCTAGCTGTACATCCTGCAGCAGGCGTTGCTGCAAGCGAGCTCTTCTCTGACTGTCCCAAGAAACCATTGCCTTGATGACCACAAGAACAAGTGCTTAGTTTGACCTGGGACACCACCTGAAAGAAACCAAGGATAAAATCTAGTCTACCATTTACAGCATGCATGGAGTTTTGAATATATCTTAGGAAAAAAAAAAGTTTGGGAGGAGGTGCCCAATGTCTTTAAAGAAACAGTCTTCATTTTCCCCCTCAGTTCCTAAGATCCAGTATAGAAATTCTGGAGAAAAAGTGGAAATAGATTAATGTATAATGTTTCCTATCTCAAACTGGCATAAAAAAAGGATCACCAAACTTAAGAAACTCAATAAAGGTCAAAATGAGATGGCAAAAAGTCCGGATATGATAGAGATAGTTACAGCAACAACGAAAGGGACTCCAATCTAGCATTTTTAGGACTATATTAGTAAAAAAATTAATTTTGTATGCCACTTTTCTATATGGGTTAACAGGGAGGAGAAGGCTCAAACACAGCAAACTATGATTTTTACACTAAATTAATTATTTTAATATATTTATATTAAACGCAAGAAAAAGGCTAGCACAGCTGGTGATGCTGGAGGTACCATCTTTGTGAATATTTAACTAGTTCCACCCACACCCATATGCTAGCATGGTTAAGTAATGGCTTTAATCCATCTCTCAGGGAAGAAATATGCAGCCAAAGAGTTAAAGTAGCAGAAATCGCTGTGTTTTTAAGCATTCAAATTTTTTCCTCTATGTCTCACTAAGTTTTACTATTCCCTTGGCTTAAGCAAGAAAAATGGAGTAACTGTTGAAGAATCAGTCTTATGCACTTAAGTGTGCAGTATTTCATAGCTAAAATGAGAATGAAGGAATGAAGCTCATTGTTTTATAATAGACATTACAGCTGATAACAAGGAAGGAAGGAATTTTAGCTCAAAACTTAATTCTTGTTTATTGGTAGTGTAATAAATATCTGAACTTCTGGGCTAAACCAAATCTAAGCTATTTCTGAAATCCACTGAAATGGCTTTTTTTTACTATTCTGTCATCTAATCGCTGCAGAGATCCTATTTCTTTTCAGCATTCAGCAGACAGAAGAATCAGGTTACGCATCTTCAAGTTCTCATTTACTGCATTAGAGATGTTTCAGCACTGAAGTTTACTTTTACAACTCCTTTATTCAGTAATGAGAACAACCTGGTCAACCATGTTTGTCTCCATCAGGATGGAGCTCCCAAACTTGGCTCTTCTGTCATCACTGAGAGAAACAGCGCCCAGCTAAAAAAACCTGAGTGTGCTCAGGCAGCACATGATCTCAGTTTGGACATACTAACATTTTAGTCTGGAGTATTCTTCAAACTAAAAATTACAAAGGACATTTGTTTACACATTTAAAGGTCACTTAAAGTCTGCAAAATACCCTCCCCTGCTGGGGCATTAAATACAGATTGATGCAAATTTTACAGAAATCTTAAAACGCACCTTTTCAGAAGGCCACCTTAAAACTCAACTTGCAAATTAGCACCCCTGCCCACACAAAAAAATGGCATTTTCCAGGTTAACACATTCACACCAAATAGTTATAGCTTTTGATCATCAAAATAAAAAAAGATCAGCACCTCTACCGCAGTGACACTAAACATACACCTGACACTTAAGCAATCCTTCAAAGATGGCAACCAGACTTCAGATTTCGATTCCAACAGTATTCTTGCCCATCACTATCACAATAAAAATGCTATGAGCATAAATGCCTGGCTGTTCAGCACAATGAGGGAAAAAACCTGAGGTGAACTACAATAGCTGGCAGCTAATCAAAGAGCCAAGACAGGCTTTCTTTTTATCAAAGGTCCCCATCTGGTTTTAGTTTACTGTTTGAGTTAGAAAACTAATTCTTCCACTATGGCTTTAGCATCTTGATGAAAGGCAAGATATGTAACGTTCAGTTGTTATCTATCTAGAATGCCATTCATCCGTGATAATGCTGTTAGATTATCTTACTTCTCATAAGGACTAAAGGATATTTGGCAATATTAGTCAACAGCAGACAGATTTCCTCACTTTTCATTTCAGAAAGTGAATCCAGGCTTTTGACAGAGCTAGCAAAAAGAACAAGGAAGCGATCCTGCAAGTACTCCTTGTTTAAGGCTGATGTCCACTGGCATCAGCACTACTACCACCACTTCAGTTAAGGAACGAAGTCTATCAAATTTTGATAAGTATTTTCTTCAAAGAACTTAACTGCTGTAGCTCCTACCTTCTTTTGGCAAAATAGCTACTGCAGGAGAATGGTCAATGACCGTATAGAAGTCTCTGTTCACATATTGATCAAGCTCAATGAGCCTTTCCGAGGAGGACTGTGACATTCCATGATCACTTGTGATTATGACATTTATCACATCCCACAGCTTCGCTTTCTTCAGTTCAGACATAAGATATCCCAGCTTTTTGTCAATATCACTAATTATCGGTCCCATAAGTGGGTTTTCTGGGCCCAGAATATGGCCCATCTCATCAGGCTGTTCCCAATACAGGAGACCAAAATTTATGGGTTCTTCTGATGTAAACCAGTCAATAAGCCTAGCAACTCTATCTTCAAAGGAAACAGATTCATTGTAGGGCATATAATATGTAGGAAAGACTCCATGTATTTTCACATCTGTTCCAGGCCACATAGCTGCTCCGGTTTTATGTCCTTCCCTCTGGTTTGTTATCCATATTGGGCTGGCTTCTTCCCAGAACTTGGAGTTATGGACATTCATTTTGTTCAGAGAGAAACTTTCATTCAGAATAGGATCATACATCTCATTAGCAACTATACCGTGGCTTTCTGCATAGAGACCAGTCACCATTGTATAATGATTAGGATATGTTTTCGTTATAAACACATTAGTGACCTGTTTGACATGAACACCATTCCTCATGACGTAATGAAAATTGGGAGTTGAGACTTTATAGACGTAATCCCATCGAAATCCATCAAAAGATACCAGCAACACTCTGGGCTGGGCTGGCTGGAGAGACAATGCACTTGGAAGCAGCAGTAATAAAATTGCCAGGACTTTCCAGTAACAGTTCATGGCTATTGTGAAAGATATTCTTCCCCTCTTCTGAGGCAACATGGCATCTGTTGAGCAGAGACAGAAGATTTGTTTGTGTTAACCTGTTTGACAAAGTCATAAGCTGGTTTTAAGAAGGAGTAGCTAAAATATTCCTTTTGTGTTATACAGCTTTCCTTACTAACACCAAGCACTCCAAACATAGGAACAAGACCTTTCACCTATCACTTATATCGATAGCCCAATTTCAGAGATGGGAAGTGAGACACAACAATTTGTTGAACAAAATACAGTTTGCAAAGAAATTTCTTTATCCAGCACCACTGCCCAACCTCCTCCTTTTTTCTTCCTGCTCCCAATACATAGAAACTCCTGCTCTTGCAATTTGACAAGTTTTCAAGTATTTTCTGCATTCAAAGTTGTAAGAAACTGCCCTATGAGAAAGCTTCTGCTTGTTAAGATGTAAACAGGGGCAGTTCTCACCTTGAGAATAACAAGGTCTATCTTCACCAGAACCTTATAACCCTCATTAAAATCTCTGGAGCATGACTTCTCTTCTGCGCAAAGCATGACACAGACACAGTAGCATCACATGGCAAAGCAGCGAATGAGAGCGGAAAGCACGTACCTGGAACTGCAAGACAGTGCACAGCTCCCATGGGGGTAGGAGGCCAGCTAGAAACCATCACAGCTTCTCAGCCCCAACACTCAGTATGGGATTACTAAATATGCTGAGTACAATTTCCAGTGGAGAAATTAGTAAATAAGCTTCAAATTTTGGATACAGCAGTACATCCATTAAAAGGTTTTGCTGCTTAAAAGGTGTCAGATCAAGAGGTAGACAAACAAAGACCAGGAACATCAGTTTCCCAACATTTTATGACATCTCTAACCTGATCGTAGCCTCCCTACATAACTGAGCTCTTATTAATCAACTAATTGTGGTGTTTTACTGCTATGGAGAAAATGAACACAACCAAAACCAGCACATTCACTTCTAGTGTACAGCTTCACAAACAAGAATGTACACAGGTCATACAAGACAGTGTGAAGTTTCAGTTCTTCTAACTAACCACTTATGTCTCTGAATGGATTGGAAAGAGATGGTTGAAAGATTCAGTGGTACAGTTGTGAGCCACTGGAAATACTACATCTTTCAAGCAAGCAGCATCTGTCCTTTCCAGTCAAATACCACTGCTACCTAAGTGCAAGCAGCATGAAGTATGCAAGACACAGGAAATATAATGCAAAACCTGTCCATGAGTTGCATGAGATGGTGCCCACTACACCGTACCCTAAAGCATTTCCCTCCTAGATAAACATTCAGTGCTAATTCTGATCATATAACTCAAGGATATTGACTATACCTAGCTATGACTGGCATTCCTTACTTAACAGCATGACATAATACGGCACATAATTTCATATTGTATTGGGTTGTACTCCCCTGTCCCTGTTTCCCTCTGCCCTTCCCAAACACTTGCTTGTTCAAAACTCAGCTATCTAACTCAAAGTAACATCCCTGTAAGAACCCTCACACAGGATTTCCCCATCTGTAACCAACCTAAAATTTCATGCTAGTATTCTCCCCTTCTTGCTCAACAGCATCATTTATCCACAAGACCAGATACTGTTCAAGCCAATCTTGCATGTGGACTGTACTGGTACTCCACCCGGTTCCCTTCAGGTTCCCATTTTTCAGCAATCCTCTGGAACAAGTCACTACTGAAATTCAGCTGGAAAACAGTGATTGTGTAACCAATAAATCCACATTAATATCCGGAGTACATAAATATTCTAAGTAATATTAAAAGTTATAGTGTAACAAGCATCTGAGTACTACTGCAATGATACAATAGGATTTGTCATTTTGGTAGAACACAAGATACCTTCCATGGGAAATTTTCCTACTCCAAACCCCCAGATAAATCTCTCAGATATATATATTTACACTGGAAAACAGCATAGCCACTGCTGGCTTGCAGGTAGTCAAATGGTACACCAAATTTGCACATCTCCCAAAATTAAAATCCAGGACTAGAGTCCTGCTAAGAATGAACTGATGCTTCAGAGGCATTGTTCTCCGTTCAGCAACCACCACAGAGCCACAAGCTGCAGAATCACTTGGTTTCACCTAATGTGGGACACCTTTCAGCTGAATCAGAAGGAAGAAAGGGAGAACACGCTGTTGTGTCCATCTGAACCCCATCCACCAAACTAACTGTAGTCCATAGCCAAGTCATAAATTCCCCATTCTGGGGAGTGACAAGTAGAAGTTTAAAGTCCTCTCAAGTGAAATCATGTCCTTACTTCTGGATTTTACATATTTAATGACATTATCATCACCTAATCCTTTAGCTGCAGATTTTTAATAAATTATAAATAATGTTTTTCTTCCAGGGCCTTCCTATACTGGTCTGCCCTGGACACAACCTGAGCAATCTACTGACCCCGGTCCTTCCAGAAACTCAGCACCACAAAGCACAGCTCTGGGGTCCAGGCAGGGCTCCGGTGGGACAAAGGCGCCCGACTGCCCAGGGCACGGAGCTGACAGACAGACAAGTGCCCAGGGACCTGTTCAGCAGTCAGAGGAGCTCAGCACACGGACGAATGTCGAGGGCAGGCCGGCGTTCTCCCACCCAGCCGCCTCCAACTGCGGCCGGACACCGCTGTGAAAGGTTTACTTCACCCTGACAGGACAACCACGCGAGGCAAAAACCCCGACTCAACAAACCCACGCTCCCACACGCCACAGACCACCTCGATGCCCAGGGCT